TCTTGTTGTTTACGATGTTTTGTTCCTTCCTTACCTGCAGATATATTTCATTTAATGAAGACAATCACTGTCTTTAAATCATAACATTGTAACACCAGGTTTCTTTTGTGATGCTTTGTCTGTGATTGCTTTTCGGACCCGCTGAGAGTGTCTTTGTTGTTTTATGGATTATATAGCTTGGGTACATTTCTCCATATTTTCATTACTGCTTCTATTGCATTCTTAGAGCAAGGCTTCTTCCTTCAGCTCTCCAAGAACATCTTTCCATTCCCATGGGTGGTGCTTAATGAAAGATTTCACAGCTTAATTTAGTGCCAGCAGTATTTGTCTTAAGGTTTTGAAGGTAGCAAGATCAAATCCAGAAGGAGTTCTATTTTTATTAAAAAATAACTCTGGTTTCTTATTCTCTGCATGTCAAATGGATCACAACAGTAGCACTTAATTATCTTCATCTACCCCTGTACTCTCTTAGAATTATTTAAATTGCTCATGCTCAAGATGCAAAACTTAAACTTCAGCAGACGCTTGGTCTTCCAGCCCTTACTTACATGGGAAGCTGAAATCAGTGTCATTGGAATTTGCCTGAAAGTGGGTTTCACTTTCTCTGCATCTCATGAGCTCCCTGATGGAGCAGGGGTAGCTCTGGGGATTTTCACCCCCCTGCTCTTCACTGATGAAATACAGAGAAATATCTGAAGGAGCAAAATATTTAGCCTGGGGAAGGCCTTTGGGTTTCACTGGAAGAGAAGTGCTGTGATACACGAGTGGCTGAAAGGATGTTCTATTCAGTTCCTTCACTTGAGGATGCATGTTCCTGGCTGGAAGGTCCAGAGCCAGAGCAGCAGGTGAATTACTCGTGTACCCACTCATGGCACACATGGTGCATTGTGCTGCTTTGAGAGGAGGCAGTTTTTCAGCTGAGTCTGTGTTTCCTCTCCTTCCAAGGTTTCAGTTCTGTAGTTACAGGCTTGTACATCCTTGCAAGTAGAATAATACATAACCACAGGTGCTTATTGACTGGGTCACTACTGAGTTACAAATAGACTTGCCTGTGCCTTGGACGGGAGTAGGGGAATGAATTATTGATAAGGGCTGTGGTGCGATGAAGGAGGATGGAGATGGCCCCTCTTACTCACACACCAGCTTTCCTGCTGCAGCTAAAACACATCAAAGGGATGCACAAAGAAGCTGCTGTTTGCACACCAATGCCAATGGTGGCGATACAGAGGCAGAAGCAAGCACAAGGCTTAACTACCAGACACAAAGTCCCAGAGTCATTAAAGGGGGATGAGGTTAATCTTCTGGCTCCTCTGAGCTGAACACAGCCTGCCAGGGGCTCACCCTGATCTCTGCACTTTTCCAATGAAAGCAGAAATTTTCATGAAATGCCAGGGCTGGTGATGGGAAATGAACTTTCCTTCCAAGTGCTCCCTAAACAGCAATCAGGGCTTAAAAGGATTATTGACCTGCAGGAAGGAGAGATGATCTGTGAGTGATCAGACAAATCAATGAGCCACAAATCATTTTAGACCCAGTGTCCTCCACAGGTGACTCGTGGACCAACTCTGACACCCCAGAGTGAGGAGGACCCCTCTTCTGGATGTGTCCCTGATGATTTCCAGGTGCAAACCTGGCCTACAACACATGGTATGAGGGGTAATGGTGAGCACATTGACCTACTTGAGTTACCTAAGTCCACAAGACTTGAATGGAGCGAGGGCTGGAGAACAAGCCCTCCATGAAGCGGGTGTTTTGCAAAGGGGTGGCTGTGAACATCAGACCCAGGCTTTAGCTTTTTTCTCCTGTCTTGACTGTGAGGTGCATAAATTATGCATTTGATTCTGGGTTCTGACCCAGTGGGTGCTCAAACTTCATTGGCTTTACAGGAGTATTTTTCAACCTTGTGATAAAAATCCCCTTCAGTTCCCTTCCCACTGGAGCTTGTGGAACTCTTTGCAGGGTAGAGCGGAGCCAGCTGCTTTGCACCAACTGTTTTCAGCTCATGGCTATGTCCAAACGTCAAGATTTGGAGAGATTTTCTCATGACATATACAGAAATACTTAAATAAATGAAGTGTTTTCATTACGGCAAGAAGCAGCTTGTGCAATTCCTTAAAATACTGTCATTTCATCTTCTGCAGAAATAACAGGAAAAAAATCAACTCCTAATTCTAATCCAGGCAAAATTCCTGTTGCTTCTTTGCATAGGAAAGATTCAGTTGAAATTTGCCCACTTCATTTATTTTATTATTTCTATCACCTCCCACTGTTGGCAACCTTCTTCGCTCAGATACTTCCCCAATAACCTTGAGGCTTTTGGAAGATTTTAGAGTGAAGATATAGGGTTAATTTCACCTAAATTTAAATACGTTTTGATATAAAATGTAATCTCCTATCATCATCAGCTCTCATAAATGCTACTTTGCTAAAATGCCCTTTTTCCAAGCTGTGCTTTGATATACAGTTTATCCATTCACCACTCATTCTTGATTGGTAGTAAAGGCTTTTATTAAGGATGACAGAAATGTTTTATCCACCATCATAAACATGGTTTTATTAAAAAGAAAAAAAAATAGAAAGGAAAGGAATGAGAAAAATGCAGGTCCCCAGTCCTCTTTTCATAACTTATTGGGAAAGGCTTTATAGCTGAATCAGCTGCTGAGTTGCCATGTTTTTATCTAGGAGAATGCAAATTTAAGTGTTTCTGGGCTGTAACTGCAATACGTGCAGGCTCTGGGGTACCCACAATTACTGTCTGAAGGCTTAGTACTGTGGGAGAGAAATAGGCAGTTTATTGCATTCATCCTAGCCACCAGCCTGGATATTTACAGAGAATGCAGGAGCAGTGCTGCTGCCTTTTATCCCAGCCTTCTTTGTAATGCACAGCATTTCTCTTCTTGGATTTCTCTCTCTCAAAAACCCCAGGTATTTCATTTCTTTTAAGCTCTACTGTGAATGAGCTCTTTCAGGACCTACACTAAATGAGGTGAGGTCTAGAAGCAAGAGGTCCGGTCCCTTGGATTACTGTGGACCCCTCCAAGAAGCCTAAGGACAGGGAAGTATTACATTTATTCCAGGACCAGTCACTGCCAGTGAAACCTTCAGATTCTGCTGAGCTTTCTTCAGCATTCCTTATGTCAAGTCTTGGTGGAAAACTTTCCAGGGGGACTCTTTTTGGGATGTGCCCCAGGGAATATTGGGTAGTTTCCACCAAAGTAGTATGTTCAGATTGGCTCTTTACCAGATGAGATTGGGCTTGCTTATGTCTAACACCATCTGCTGCCCCTCAGTGACTAGTCCTTAGCCAGTTCATTGGCCAGAACCTGCTAGAACTCCTAACTGTTCAGGAGACCATGGAGAAGCTTAGAGACCTGTCTACCGCAGTGATGCTCATATGAATGTCTCAACATCCCAACAGCCATGACCATGTCCACCCTCTGCAATGCAACAGCCAAGCCTACCATTCACAAGAAAGCAACTTACCTTCCTCAACAACCCTTCACTGGGGTCTCTTTCCATTGGAAGGAAGGGAGCTGAAGAGTTTATTTTATGAGTGCAGGTGTCTGGACTGAATCCTACCAAATGCTTTAGCACTGGCCCCTGCCCATATGTCAGAGAGTTGGCGTGGTGAAACTTGACATTGTGCTGCGCTATACTTTGCATATTGATCCAGATATAGCACATTTCTCAATCTTGTGGGGAGATAAATGTGTGACAGCTCCTGCACCACTAAGTACTGAGTTTGGTATAATGCCATCAGGCCGCTGTCTCCACTGCAAGTCTCCAGCGAAGAGAGACATAACATTGCTTGAGAGATGGATTCGTCAGCAAAACAGAATGTGATGTTTATTGATATCAATTGAATAAATAAACAAGACAATAAATTTGGAATTGCTGCTGAAATCACTTGAAAGTGCTGTATATTGAATTTTACCTACTTTTATTGTCTGTGGAATGAGCTGCTGTTTTATGTATCATCATCTTTGTGATATACGGATTTTGTATGATTTCATCATGTGTCCTGGGAAAAAGAAGAGGTGAAAAGAATTATCACCAGGTCTTAGATGCGCAGATGAGCTAAACCAAACTCCGAGAGAGAAAAATGAAATAATTCCAGCCCAATGTGACAAAGTGGAGGTCATCCCGGGAAGCAGTGCTGGTGCTTGTAAGATGAAGTGCTTCAGTAGCTTTCACAGCACAATTTTGCTCCTGACTTCTGAGCACAGTATGTTAAGAATTAGGAAAAATAATTGTTACAACTCTTCTAAACACCTCATTCTCTAACAGGCCCCTCATGTGGTGGAGAAGTGGTCCAGAAAGGTGGCCAATCTGGAGGTTCTTCTCAATATATTTGATTTGGCAGAACCAAAACTTGAATAAATCGTGCCCAGAGATCTTTCCAGGAGAATTTTGACAGATTCTGTAGTTTTACCCCATTTGAAATAATTTTTATATTTTCCCTCCTTATAGTCCCAAAGAGTTTGAAGCTGCTTTACAAGAGCTCTCAGGGTGGGAGTTTGCTTTGGCTTAGTGTCTGAATTCAATTGTATCCAAGACGATCTGTGGGAAGAATTGTAACTGGGATAGAGAGGAAAAAGGCTGTTCTGGCAAGTCCAGTTTACACGCATAGAGGGACAATCTGCTTAGGCATGTGAAAAATCTTGGCCCATGAGGAATGTGTCAGAGACCCTTGACTTCAGCAGTGTGGCTATTTTGATAAAGGCACTTCTAAATTGCCCCAAACCTTCAATATACCAGTACCAGAAAGGAGGGACTAGGAGACAAGCTGAAGAGCTCTTTGTGAAAGATGAGCTCCCAAAGGTAAATTGCTAAGCTGGCTGCGATGGATAGGTAGAGTCCTTGTCTTGGGAAGAAGGAGTTACCTCTGGACCTGTCAGAAGGCATCCCTAGCCAGAATAAGACCCTCTCCTCTGCTTCAAGGAGTTATGCTTTAAAAGGTTCAGGCTAAGAAAAAAGAAGTGCTCAATGTTCAGCTGCCAGTTGGACCCTGAGGTTTGCCTTAAATAAAATAATTGTTTTTCCTGCTTTTCCTAACTGCAGTGGTTCTGGTCCCAGCAGAAGTGTCTGAGCTAATCATATAAGGATGTAATAGCTCTGGACTCCCCTTCGAGAGCTCTGTGGCTCCCTCGCCTCTGTTCCACCCCTTGTGGGGAAATTTATTAAGGAATTTAATATTATTTGGAAAGCTGAACACAAGAATATATTTCTTATCCCCTGGGCACCATTGCAGTCACATAGTGACATTAGCTTTCCTGTCCACAGGCCCTGCCAAGTACTTGCCTGTCCCACTGCTCCAGCACATTTTAAACACTTCAGTTTTATGGTTTCCTTTTCATTTATATCTCCCCGTGATACTTCCCTCCTTCTTCCCAGGCATCTGCAGTCATGCAAAGAAGCTGGAGAACACCAGTTCCCAGAGGTACCTCCAAAGTTTGAATAGCTTCTTCCCTTGCCACAAGCCTGTCAATAAGGGGTTTGATGAGGTCTCTACTTCCTTGTCAGGGGTGAGATCTGATTACCCCAGTTATCAGTGTGACACAAGGATGGATTTGTTTCCAAGCCTCTTTATTATAATTCTTCCTCACAGAGAGGATCTGAATGTTCTCCATTTCAAAATTTACCTTATAGTTTGGGTTTGAATGAAAAATGACAGTAAAGGCTAGAAGCCTTTTTGGTAGTTTTGTCTCCCAGCTTTAAGGAGAATATAGGGAATTTCATTTCAAGGCTTTGGAAGACTAAAAGTCCCACCAAGCATGCATATTATCAAGTAAAGCAGGATTCTAAAAAACAATAGACTCCAAAATACACACATCTCCCTCTGCATAGGTGAAAGAACAAACAACACGACTATTAATCATACTGCTTTATGCATTACTGGATAGCATCCGAACACAGATCTACTGATAATAAGAGAAGAACCCATTTAGAAGAAAAATTAAAAACCCAGAGAGCGTAAATTAATCTCTCAAACACTATTTACCAGGAGTAGATGCTCCTTTCATAGCACAGTACAAGAAGCTGAGCTTTCCTGTGGGCAGAGCAGCTTTCCATGCGATGCTGGAGATTGACAGTAAACGTTCCACACTTTGTGTTTGAAGGGTTATGGATAAAATAGAAAGAGCATTCAGAAGCTGGGAAATAAAACCCATGTGAAGATTGCACTTAAAGCTGGTGAAGAGCAACTCCCCCCCAGTATATCACACACTCAGCAAATGCATCTGGTGGTGAAGCCAGTGAACATTTGCTCTGGTAGATATGGACTTTCTTTTTCTTTTTAGTGAGAAAAGCCTCACCTTTTCCCTTGTTTTCTGGAGAAATGAGTTTTATGTGAGTGCGATGTCTATTCACTTCCCTGCCTCTTAGCTCCTTTTCCTGACTACTGGGGAATGCACGAGGCAATTGAGCAACCTGAAGTAGAGGTTTCAATGACAAGCAGCTCGAGGAAAACCCAGAGCAGTTCTTTCAATAAACACCATTAAAATTCAGCCCTTCCTTACCTATTTCCACAGGGAGGAGCCTGCTTGAAACACCAAGCAACAGCCTGTGTGTTGGTTCAGGCAAACAACCAACAGCAAATGAAGGACTGCAAATAGCCACAAATAACAGGACTCCAGGAGAATTCCAGATGGAAGAGATGGAATGATGACTGCCTTCAGATTTGTGACCCACATCCAAATTGTTCTAAACTGGAATGGTGGAAATGATAATAAACAAAGGTGTTAATTAATTTTCTAAGTATTCTTGCATTTCAATCTGGATCTTGCAAAGCCAAGAAATAGATACATGAATTTGGAGATGGGAAGAAGAAGATGAAATAAATCAGAGAAGATAAAAAGCCGAAACACAGATTTAGATAAAGCTCTATTGTTGAGAAATCTATTTTTCAGTAGGTCAAGACCCTCTTAGAGTGCAACACATACACACAGGCCCAGGCAGAGGTGTTTGCATCAGCAGATTTAGAAAGACTCAGGGAAAAACCACATTTCCAGAATTTTCTCCCTCCTGTCCACACCTGAGAGACTTCTCATGCTATAAACTTGTGGATGATAAGAGTTCGCAGCCAGGATGCTGCCCAGAATGTGCGAAAATCCTAAGCACATGCTGAAAACCTGATTAAATTGTGTCAGTCTTTCTTACTGGTGTTCTAAGACTAAAAATTACACCTCCAACTACAACAACACCAGTCACAGCTATGGAACCAGTCCCAACAAAGTGGAAAGTCTTGATTTCTGCCTCTCATAGTGAAGTTACAGTAGCACAAGACCACTTAAAACTGCATAATTTTAGGTATGGGATTAATCTGATCTTTTCACTTTTTAGACAGCATGAACTCTGCTGAAATTAATTTATTAATTGAATGGCCAGATTAAATTCTTTGCTCAGCTCTGCTTGTGGCCTTGAAAGAACAAGGTGCAATCAGCACAGTTCCTAATTAATGATAATTTGCCAGACACTCCAGATCAGCAGTTAAAGTTTAGAAGGTTCATTGCCCATCGTATGGCTGGGAAATGAGGTTGCCTTGTGCCAGTGCTTCCAGGAGTTAGTGGTCCTTGAAAAGACACCTTTGATGTTGCTGAAGCCTTGGAAAGGCCCTGGGAAGGATTTTGCAGCATCAGCCTTAAAGACAGAAAAGACAATTCTGTGTTCAGCTCATACAAGGGAGGTCAAAAGGATAATTATTCATCAGGCTTTACCAGTGCTGTTGGGATGGATAAATCACACAGCCACAGCCGCCTGAAGTCTGTTGGTAAAAAACACAACAGGCTTTCATTGCAGCTGCAGTGGGTGCTCAGCCTCTGTGTCCACTTTCCAGCTATTTAGGACCTGCAAATTAGACAACCTGGAAACTCTATGGTGTCTGCCCTTGGTAGGTATGCTCTGAAACTACTTTGAGTGCTACATTTATCAGTCAATGAGTGAAGGAAGGCAGGGAGGGGGCCAACTGTCATCTGCAAAAGAACCTACGGCTTGTTTACAAGTGGGTTTGATCTCTCTTTGACATGATGGTATCCCAAAGAAGATGGAGACAGGGCTACACTTCAGTCCCACCAGCCCGAAGTCAGGTCTTAGTCCAGAAAAGTATGAGTCATTCTCCTGGAAAAAGAAGAAACAAACAGGTCTGAATGATGGGAAGTCTCTAGGAAGTGGGGTTCTCCTGAATTGCTCTCTCTTTTTTATATCTTATCCAATAACCTTTCAATGTATCATGTACAATACAGGAATTTTCTACCCATTTTCAGTGATTATACAAGTGCCCCACATACTGCAGCCATGCTGTCCCAGGTCAGGACAGCTCTTCTGCTGTCCTTCATGACTGTGTGTCTCCTACAAGCTCGGTCTTGTGCATTGCTGGAGCCCCTCTGCCTTTATCCAGAGGTCTGGTACAGATTTTACAGTGAGGGGAACTGCACCTTTAAATTCCTTCCAGGACAGAGGCTCTAAAATCATAGAATCATAGAATCATAGAATAGTTAGGGTTGGAAAGGACCTTAAGATCATTCAGTTCCAACCTTCCTGCCATGGGCAGGGACACCTCATACTAAACCATGGCACCCAAGGCACTGTCCATCCTGGCCTTGAACACCTCCAGGGATGGAGCATTCACAACTTCCTTGGGCAGCCCATTCCAGTGCCTCACCACCCTTACAGTAAAGAACTTCCTCCTTATATCCAATCTAAACTTCCCCTGTTTCAGTTTTAACCCATTACCCCTTGTCCTGTCACTACAATCCCTAATGAAGAGTCCCTCCCCAGCATCCCTATAGGCCCCCTTCAGATACTGGAAGCTGCTCTGAGGTCTCCACGCAGCCTTCTCTTCTCCAGGCTGAACAGCCCCAACTTTCTCAGCCTGTCTCCATACAGGAGGTGCTCCAGCACCTGATCATCCTCGTGGCCTCCTCTGGACTTGTTCCAACAGTTCCATGTCCTTTTTATGTTGAGGACACCAGAACTGCACACAATGCTCCAGGTGAGGTCTCACGAGAGCAGAGTAGAGGGGCAGGATCACCTCCTTCGACCTGCTGGTCACACTCTTTTTGATGCAGCCCAGGATATGGTTGCTTTCTGGTCTGTGAGCGCACACTGAAGCAGGCTCACGTTAAGTTTCTCATCAACCAACAGATCCCTCTGGATGCCGTTCCTTCCCTCTAGTGTACCAACTGAACCACACAGCTTGCTGTCATCGGCAAACTTCCTGAGTGCTCTGTGCCTTCTTTTTGTTTTGACTGTCTTCTCAGACTGCCAGCACCTTGAATCTTCATCTCTTGTGATGCCCTTGCTCTTTCCTGCCTTTTCCTTTAGACCTAAAATACCACCTCCTTCTATCCCCACTTCCAGTCCTTCATCATGGCCTTCCCTGGATCCTTCTCCATCTCAGTCACAGGAAGGAGCAGTGAGGAAGGCACAAAGCCACAAATTCTAGATCAATCAGCCAAATGAACCTCCTCACCCATGTATCCCCAAGTTCACTTGAACAACATCAGGAGCTGTGGTCTCCTGAAGAGATGTCTGAGAGCATCATGGAAACACTGACCTTACATCCACGTAGGCAGCTGTGCACATCTGCATCACCCCTACAACATGAGGCTATGGTCTTCAGGAGATGATGGTCTGTTATCAAACAGAAACTGTGTGCGCTTATTGCTCTGTTGAAGAGCTATGGTTCAAGCACCCACCTTTTGGAACATCCTATGTACGTGGGTTTCAAACCACATACTTCAAAGCCTGGCAGTGGCAATACTAGGTTTTACTGCCAAGATTAGTGCAAGGACTCAGAAGAACAAGTCTTTTGATGACTTTATCTTTTCAGGAAAAACACCTCAGGTTGGAGTGTTGCTTGGAGAATCAGTGTCTAAACCATGTGCTGAATGGTGGGGGTCTCTGATATACTAAAGGGTGAGAACATAGGGAATGTTGCCCTCAGCTAACAACAGTGAAAACTTCAGTCCAGTACTCTGAGGAATATGGAACCATTCTTTGGAGCAGCCAAGAGGATCCCTGAGGAACCTGGGGAACTTTATATTTTGTCTGAGTTTGTAACTTCTTTACAAAGCAGAATAAAAAAAGGCAACCTCCACACACCCTCTTTGGCCTTATTGTAGAGATGAATCATTCCCCACTCCTCCTGTTATCAATGCCCAGAGATCTGTATCAGGATCTACTCTTTATACTGACAGCCTGGTAGCAAGATACATGACAGTAAGCAATTGTTAAGCATTCAGGAATTCCTCTCTATGAAGCTGTTCCAGTATAATTCCCTTTAGAGAAAGATAAAGGTAACAGATATCACATCTTACCTTGGGATTTCCAGTATTTCTTTTCAGGGCTTGTTTTTAAATGGGAAATATAGTGAATTGTTACTGGAATCCCCTTGAAGAACTCTGCCACACAGTACTGGTGGTTTCCCATCCCTCTTCCAGGAATAGGAACAGAGCTCTGCACTGCAAGGAGTCATCATGTTTGGCTTCTTTACAGCTTTCTGCCTCTGAGATTTACTCTCAGCATCAATGCAGAAGAGGCTTTGAATTAGCTTTTGAGCAGAAGCAGACAAATTAAATTCCTGGGCCCTGCAGCATCTGAAGTTACATGATGTCTTCTGAATGCCATCAATCTGATTGCCAGTGGCAAAAATGAGCCGGTGATCAAGACCACAAAACTTTTGAGAAGAAAATAAACAAATGTCGCTGTATCGTTTAGCAAGATTAGAGGCACATGGCTGTAGAAGACATACTGCCAGAGCCCGGAGATCAAGATACTGAAGCTTAGGCTGTAGAAGATGTCATGAAGCTGCAGAACCTATTGGGAGTTAGTAGTGAACATCTCAAAGAGAATAAGTGTGGAGGTAAAGCAAGTGGGACACAAATACCCAGCAAGGCAGGATTTGAATATGGCAGCTGTACACACAGTGAGGGTTGTGCAGCAAGGGAAATAACCTCTCATGCACACAACATTCCCAGTGGGTCCACGGAGTTCCCTGGTCCAGGTCATAGTAGAAAACCAGCAGTTCAGCCAAGCTTTGGGGTCAATGGTGAAGAGCTGAGGACTGTATCAGAGATCTTGGAGGTGGTGGAGCACGTTGCAAGTCAGAATTGTCCAACCAGTCTCCTTGCACTGACTCTGAAGGGCCTGGAGGCTGGGCATATGGAGGCACAGTAGTGCCAGAGCATGGGCAGGGTGAACTGGATGGTACTGAGGTGATGACGTCCAAGGCAATAGCTTTCTCCTCCTTTCCATGGCTGGGGCTGTGCAAGAGGGAGCTCCAGAGAGTAACAGAGAGCCCTCTTTGCTGCAGAGACCAATGAACCCAGCTTTCCAAGTCACAGGAAGCAGCAGGGCTGGACCTTCTTACTGTACTGATCACTGGCTCATAGAGGACAATGAGGAGACAGATCTCTGCTCATTCTAAGGCCACCCCAAATCTCCAGTGCAGGGTTTGGTTCTTTGCAATGTACCTTAGATTTGAAACTTCCCCTTTCAATCTGCATTACCCCTTGTCCAAGGGCTGGCTGAAGAGAGTGGAAAAAATAGTTCTGTGCTTTCTCCAGAATGTTGGAAAGTCGCCTTGATCTGTATTCAGTGAAGTTAAATTACTACTGGACTTCAGAGACCAGTAGTTGCCAAGCCAGAATGGAGTTCACGCCATCTATTTTGCCCTGTCAAAGTCAGGTACCCTCTGCAATCAGTGGAGATGAAATATTTTACTCTTAGAGGTACCCATCTAACCCAG